CGTCAACATTTGTTATTACTTGTCCTGTTGATTATAGCTATTCTAACAGGCATGAGACGGTATCGCATTGTGGTTTTGAGTTGCATTTCCCTAATAGCAAGCAATGTTGAGCACTTTTTCATATGTTTGTTGGCCACTTGTATGACTTCTTGGGAGAAGTGTTCATTCAGGTCCTCTACCTGTTTTTTAATTGGATTGTTTTTGTTGTTGTTATTGAGTTGTTTGAGTTCTTTGTATATTTTGGATATTAGGCCCTTATCGGAGGTGTTGCTTGCAAATATAGTTTCCCATTCGGATGGTTGTCCCTTTACCTTGTTGATGATTTCTTTTGTTGTCCAGGGCTTTTTATTTTGATGTAGTCCCAGTCATTTATTTTGGCTTTTACTTCCCTTGCCTTTGAGGTCAAATTCATAAAATCCTCTTTAAGTTCAAGGTCCATGAGTTTAGTTCCTAAGTTTTCTTCTATGCAATTTATTGTTTCAGATCTTACATTCAGGTCCTTAATCCATTCTGAGTTAATTTTGGTGTGTGGTGATAGACAACAGTCTAGTTTCATTGTTTTGCAGGTGGCTTTCCAGTTTTCCCAGCACCATTTATTAAAGAGGCTTTCCTTTCTCCACTGTATGTTTTGGCTTTTTCGTCGAAAATTAATTGCCCATATAAACACGGGTTTCTTTCTGGACTCTCGATTCTGTGCCACTGGTCTGTGTGTCTGTTTTTCTGCCTGTACCATGCCATTTTGATTATTGTTGCTTTGTAGTATAATTTGAAGTCGGACAGAGTGATGCCTCCAGCCTTGTTCTTTTTTCTCAGGATAGCTTTGGCGATTCAGGGTCTTTTGTGCTTCCATTCAAATCTGGTGATTTTTTTGTTCTATTTCATTAAAAAATGTCGATGGGATTTTGATGGGGATTGCATTAAATCTATATAATGCTTTAGGTAATCAGGTCATTCTAACTATGTTGATTCTTCCAATTCAAGAACACGGAATATCTTTCCACTTCTTTGTATCTTCTTCAATTTCTTTTAATAGGGCCTTATAGTTTTCATTATATAGGTCCTTCACGTGTTTTGTTAGATTTATTCCTAGGATCTACAGCCATGCCACCCTGAACATGCCCGATCTCATCTGATCTCGGAAGCTAAGCAGGGTCGGGCCTGATTAGTACTTGGATGGGAGACCACCTAAAAAGACCTGGTGCTGTAGGCGTTTAAAAAAAGAAAGATTTATTTCTAGGTATTTTATTCTTTTTGTTGCAGTTGCAAAGGAAATTATTTTTTCCACTTCTTTTTCTGACAATTCATTATTAGAGTCTATGAATGCTATGGATTTTTGAACATTGATTAGTATATTCTTTCTTAAAAGAGAGAAACCATATCCTAAGAAATCTCTGTCCGGGCAGAAACTACATTTTAACCATCTTTGCATTGCCCATAGCGCCCCACTCAGAGCGTAGACTATAAAATATGCTCAAAACATATTCTTTGAAAGAATGTTTGATTTGAGTATCCAAATCTGAAAGTGCCATTTCTTTACCTATGATTGTCAATGTTTTTTTTTTTCCTTTTTTATGACATTTTCTCTGCTTTCGGTGATAATTAATGCTTAGTTCAGACTGCAGGGTTTAGATAAAGAAATCTGAACAATAGCTAGACAAGACAAAGCCTGTTAAATCTTATGCAGGCTTCTCCGTCTGCTAATGTGGTTTAGAATTATATGTTAGGAGCATTGCATACCAGAAGAATATTGATTGCATTTCACATAATGCAATTTACAGTTAATAAGATGGTTAGGCTGGTCCAGGACAATATTTGTTTTGTTCAATAATGTTAGACAGAAAACATACATTTTAATAAATACTGCATGAGAACAATCCTTTTGGGTGAACTTCAAGGAAATAAATACACTACCATATGGCCACATACCGGCGGATTTTCACATTTCTAAACTCTGTAAAGATATATGTTCTCAGTAATTCATTGCTTTATAAATAGATTCCTTTGAATTGCTCTTGTTTTCATGCCGAAAACTTTTGGTATTTTGTGTATGTAACCTTTACAATCTAAGGATAATTGTTATAGGATAGATTACACAACATGATATATATATATGCATCTGTAGGTACACACACACGCACACATACAAAACTCTGGAACACTGACTTCCGGTAAGGAGCAGGGCAGAATGAGAATATAAGGCATTTTTACATTTAGAGTTCCTTATTTCAGGGATATTTGGATTTTTATAATAGACACATATCGCTTTTGTAATCAGAGAAAGATACTTTAATATATGGAGCTGCAGTTGATGACATGAAAAATAAAAATAGCGTTTCAAAGAGCTCGAAAGTATTCTAGTTGCAGAGTCATCTGTCAGAGCCGCTTCCTGCTTGCGTGTACAAGGATGTATGTGGCGGCACTTTTGCCCGAAATGGCAAAAGATCCGCCAGCTTTGGAAGTCCATCATCAGGGGGAGGGGAGGAGGCCACGTGAACATGTATTTGTCTGTACAGGCCAGGGGTGCGGGGCCAGAAGCTGGTCACCCGGAGCGGGGGCCTTTTCCATTTTGTACCGTGTGCCTGGGCCGCATGGTAAAAAAAAATAAATTAAAATATTAAAAGGCTATATTTAGCTTCACGAACCACACCTACAGGTCAAAACAGGCCAGGAACCTGATGGGATTTGGGGTGTCTGGCTGTATGCTTCCCGCAAACAGGGCTTCTCAAACCACGGATGCTGAAAGAGCAGCTTTGTTTTGCCTTTTTTATTTCCCCAGTGCCTTGCAGACTGATGCTTTAATAAAATCAATAAAAACGAATTACTGGGAAAATGAAATTAAAAGACAACGGTCTTCCAAAACTTCAGGGCCCAATATTTTTATTATTAGATCGAACAGACATAAAATTCCTTTGTCAAATCGCTTTCAAACGATGGTTCTCCACTGGGGTGGGAGCTGTGATTGGACCCCCAGCAGACATGTGGCAATGTCGGGGGACATTTTTGGCTGTCGCAGCTGGGGAGAGTGGTGTTTATGGCATAGGTGGAGGCCAGGGGTGCCGCTCAATGTCCTGCAGTGCCCAGGATGGACCCCACACCACGAGGTCGTCTGGCTCGAGATGTCATTAGTGCCGATATTGCAAATCTCTGCCTTCAAAGTTTTTAAGTGGTTGATCTCAGTTTTCGTATTTCTCTCTTGGCAAACTGTTCACATTTTTGGACGTTGGCCCACAGATGAGAGTCCGAGAAGACTGCTCTGATGTTCTTATTTTGAACTCCGACCCAGGACATCATAAGAGGAATTCTCTAATCCTTGACGTTTGCGAGGCTTCCACATCAACCAGCACAGGAAAATGGAGCCTAGTGATGCCATCAAATGAAACATTAAATTGTTCTCTGCACGTGGTGAGACCAGGTCTTGAAGCCCAGCTTGTCACTTCCCAACTGTGTGAGCCTGAGAAAACTAGTTAACATCTCTGGGCCAAAATGGAAAGATGGCCTCGTTCATAAGGCTGCTGTGGGGATTAAATGTAAATCATCGGTTTCAAGAGCGCCAGACCCCGGGTGGCGCCCAGTGTCACACCTTAGGCGAGTTCTCTCCTGAACTCTGTCGAGGGACTCGACCCAGGTCACTGAGAGCCCCAGAGCATCGCTCCTTCTGACTCTTTTAATTCCTGCGGTGGAGCCTGAGGCGACACACCTCACATTCTCCTCTCCTTAGAGAAGAGAGGGGCGGCCAGACCTGTGAATGAGCGAGGGGCGGGGCCTCCTCCCCGGAGAAGAGTAAATGAAACTGCTTTGTAAAATGGAAAGTACTATGCAAATGGGACTAATCACTCATTTATCGGGCCCTTACTAGGTGCCCTTACTATAAAGCAGTGAGAAAGGAAACGAGGAGAGAGAAAGAAAAAAAAGAGGCCCCCATGAAACTTGTCACAAAAACATGCATTTTGTGAGACCCAAAGCTGCTCGAACCAGGCTCCCATTATTTCTGGCAAAAAGGTGATCGGGGAGGAAGGGAAAAGATGATTTGTGAAGAAGCTTCTCGTACAACTCCTGAAGCAGACACAGTGCAGCCGGCTCAGGCTTTGGCAGACAGACACTCTTGGGAAAGATCTTACCCAGCAAAGTCCAGCTCCACCTGCTTTGTCCTCCTGTCCAAACCTGGAGCGGCAGGGCCACACAGCTGGCCCCTGGCACTGCCGCCCGAGCCCCGGGGAACCAGAACGCAGACCCTCACCTGTTCCTGTCGTAGGAGCAGGGCGAGCGGCAGATGTGGCCGTGGGCCGAGTGTCCTGGGTCTGGTCCATCAGGAATTGCCGCCGTGGAGGAGACACAGCTAGAAGCAGGGGGGAAGCTGGGGCGGCCCCTCCCATAGGGGCAAAAAGGCCCCTGTCAGGTGACACCTGAGGTCGGCCTGAGCAGTAGGGTCTCTGCTTCCTGAACTCTCTTTCTTGAGAACACTTTCCTCTCTTTCGTAATTGCTGTGTATGAGTCATGCCCTGGGTTTTGCAGAAGCTGTGAAGGGGGACCTGTCCGAGGCTGCTCTCAGTTTGCATTCTGAGTAAGTGGCAGGTGCTTTACAGAGACAACTGCGCTCTGAGCTGTGGCTCGGGGTGGGGGTGGGGGGTAGGTAACAAGCACCACACCGTACAGTCCAGAGGCTGCAAGGTACCACACCGGAGACAGGCATGGATGGGGAAAGGCATGAGCGAATAACAAATTCCTTAACTACCTGTAGCTCCCTGGGAGGCAAAACCTGTTCTGTTCCAAATCCACATTATTTCAGCTGCTCTTCACATCTGCATCACCCACAGCATCTTGGCTGCTGTCGGTGGAGGGGCTGGAGAAAGATGGCTCACTGATCACCTTCCGTACCCGAGGCGCCGGCACACCCTGGGCACACGAAGAGAGTTAAGACATCATTTCTCTTCCACAGACACTCACAGCCTGGACAAGGACATGAACTAAACTAATAATGAACACACATGAGTCAAACGCTATAAAAACGCATTTAACGAGGATTTGGGAACGGAGAGGGAGCAGCCGATGAGTGCCCAGGAACAAAGAAATGGTCCTTTATTCTTCCCTGCACGCTCCTGGCACAGACGCTCCACGTTCAAAGCCGATGCTGGTTGATACCGTGCCCTGACCGCGGAGCAAACACTTCCTCATTTTATGACTTTTTCATTTAAATTCATATGATATCACGTTTCGCCACCGTGGTAGAACATGCGGTCTTAAACTGTACCAATCTCACTTACCCAGATCTTCTCATGATAGGTTATAAAAATGTCGTTTTACCCAGCACATGCTTTGTGTCACTATCTAACATATCTTACACCATGTGCCTTTCATTTCCAAAAGCAATTCATTCATGCAGATGTTCCTGCAGATCGTTACGTCTGTGCACTCTGGGACCAGGCATAATTGGAAGACGAATCTACAATCCATCCATCCCAACACATATCCACACAACATTTGAGATTTCTCTCTATTTTAAAAAAAAAGATATCTGAGTATACTTACATATAAATGAGTACGTGATCTACATATATATACGTGAGTATATATGATATACATAAACATCATGTAAGTGCTATATGAGTATACTAATATACACCCGCCTTTTTTTTTTTTGCATGTTAATTTTATATCATTATTTCTTTCTATTAAATCAGGCTCTGGGTGCTCTCTCCAAGGTTGAGTGCTTTGCAGATGAGCCCGTGACTCAACTTTGCCATGATGAGGTATTCTGGGGGCTTTTAAAAGTATGGAGACGGTATTAAAATTAGTAAAAACGGGATCGTCAAAGTCATGAAAACCGAAAGCACAAAAAATTATTTTAGCTTCTGATGGTTGGATGAAACTTTCTATTCACCGGCTTCATGATTCATAAGCATCAAAGTCAAGGAAACTGTGGTGACATAATTTTGCAGTCACAATTTCTGAGTCTCAGAAATGCATTCAGCTGAATCAAATGTTGTATTTTTTTTTTTTTAATTTAAAATGGGTGAAATATAGATTCATGGTTTTAGAATCAGAATCAGTTTAATGACTGGAAAGAGCCTTTGAGAAAATGTGTTCCAAACCCATTATTTTACAGATGAATACTATCAGCATACAGCTGGTTGTGACTGGCAGATAGATCCCTTCGCCGCCCTGGGCTCAGCTTCCTGATCTGTGAAATGACAGGCCGGGCTATAGAAACTCTTGATCCTCTTCCACCGTACACTGCAGAATCCTCATAAATGGTTGATGAACGGCACTGGCACCCGGAGAGGCTGGCTGATGAGGCTGAGATCACACAACTCGTCAGGGACAGACACACGTCTTCTGGCTCCCAGCCATTACTCCTCACGTAGCCTAGGCTTAGAATGAAGACCTTGAATTCTGTAAAAGTACATCGAGATTAACGAAGAAAATACCAGAAGAAGAGAAACAAATAAAACAATTTCACTCGGGACTAAGACCAAGTCAAACAAACTCCTACTTACATTTCAGTTGTCTGCACATCTACGTTTTCACCGTAGACCGGCTTCCCTGAGACATTCAGCTTGTTTTCCTGGAATGTACGGACACGGTGCCAACCGGTGTCCTGACATCCCCTGCTGCAGAACAGACGCCCCCAAAACCAGAAGGCTGGCAACGATTCATTATGACCTCTTGTTGTAAGTTAAATTGCATCCCCCAAAAGGCATGCCCTAAGCCCCAGCACCTACGGAATGTAACTTATTTGCAGATGTCATCGAATTAAGATGAGGGCATCAGGGTGGCCCTAAACTCAATATCACCAGTGTTCTCATAGAGAGAGGGAAATTTGGACACGGAGGCACAAAGAAGGCCACGTAGAGCTGGAGGCAGAGATTGGAGTGATGCAGCCATAAGCCACGGAACACTTGGGGCCGCCCGAAGCTGGAAGAGATGAGGGAGGACCCTTCCTTAGGGGATCCAGAGGGAGCACGGCCCTGCTGACGCCTCGATTGTGGACTTCTAGCCGCTAGAACTTCGAGAGAATGAACTCCGTTGTTTTCAGCCACACAGTTTGTGGTGCTGGGGTAAAGCAGCCCGAGGAGGTTCAGAGGCCTCTCCTGTTTCTGGGGGCTGACTGGGCTTGGCGGATCCATCTCCCAGGCTCTCTCAGACGGTGGCTGGGACGGGAGTCATCCGAAGGCTCGACGGGGCTGGGCGTGTCCAGGACGGCACGCTCACGTGGCCGTAGTGGGTGCTGTCGTTGGCCGGGGGCCAAGCTGGGCTGTGGACTACAGGGGGCCTCCCCACGCGTGCGACAGCGTCTCAGGAGGAAGAAGTGAAAGCTGCGGGGTCAGTAAAGCCTTGGCCCCAAATCGATGTGGCACCTGTTTCGCTGTATTCCATGCGTCACAGCCATCCAGGGATACATATACCCACTTCAAAGCCGAACGTCGGTAACTGAGGTGTCCTGAGCCGCTGCCCGCACTGGGAAAGCTGATCGACGAGACTGAGTTGTGGAAATGTTATTTCTCAGGAAAGCAAACGCTGCCTTGGGACCCGTCAGAGTTCACGAAGCCCCCGGGGGTTCTAAGTGGCAAGGAGAGCGTCTTCGATCCAGTTCCCCCGGACCCTGCCTCACCTGGAGGAGGCTCAGCGGCATGTCCCCGCCCCTTGCTCTCGAATCACTCATTGCAGCTGTCACAGCAGGCGCAGGGACTCCGAGCCGATGAGGAAAGATTCTCCCCGAAGGCCTCACCGTTCCTTTACTCCACGAGCCTTCGCTCAGCTCCTGGGGGCCTGCGGTGTGTTGGCGGCTGAGAACAAGGGAAGCGAGTGGGGATTTTAGGAATTTAAAAGGAAAAAGTAAAACGCCTGTGGTCCAGGGAGATGGAGTCGGGAAGCCCCCCTCACCCTGGCTCTTCCATTCTCCTTCCTCAGCTGTGGAAGGTGGAGGACTCTGGGCCTCGGAGCCATGCTGGCGTGTCTGTCTCTGGGTGCTCCCTGTTTTTCCACAGGTGGCCCAACCTGAGGTGCTGCCTGAGCCTGAGGAGGCCCCCGAGGCCACAGCAAGCCGGGGCGAGCACATTCCAGCTCTGTGAGCTCTCTGTGGCCTGTGAGGTGTCAGGTTGGGCCAGGCCTGGAAGCGTCACCCTCGGGGAGCTAGAGTCCTGCTAGCCACTGGGGGAGTTGGCCAGAGACCACGGGCAGAGTGGACCGCACGGGGTGCTTTTGCGTTAGTCGCAGGAGTCGTCCTGTTGTGGGGCCCAGTGTCCTTGAGACTGGTCGTGGCGGAGCCCTTATGGCATCTTGGGTGGCACCAGGGACCTCCAGGAGGAAGAGCGAGGCGGGGGTGGGGCAAAGAGACTTGAGATCGCTCGTCCTTTGCTTTTGCTCTTGTTTTATTTCCAAATAGACTTTATTCTTTAGAGCAGCTTCCGGTTCACAGCAAGATCGAGAAGAAGGCACGGAGGGTTCCCGTACGCCCCGCACCCCGCACCCGCACTGCCCCCCCCCGAAGCCCCCTCGTTTATCCACCCCCAGGAGCAACGGCTGATTTAACCGTCGCCACAGTTTCCCCTTTTCCCTTACGCTTTTCCGACCAGAGCTGATCTGGTTTACGTAGTGGGCTTCTATTTAAGATGGCGTTTAAAGACTAGCTTATGCTGCTTGAAAAGACAGAAAGAAAAAAAACGATTTTAGGTTGACGGGCAGTGTCTTGACCCCATCCCGTGTTGAAACTCGATTTCTCATCTATAAAACGGGCGAATGAGGGCTCCTGACATAAACGCTACGATGGATGTGCCCCCCCTGCGCGCGGTGGGGCCCCAGCCAGGTGGAACCGCGTCCCTGTGAGCAGCTCGTGCTCTCGGCCTCACTCAGGGCCGGGCTCTCCAGAGCTCTAGCACCCGCGCTTCTCTCCGTCCCTACTATAATGTTCTAGTTTAGGCTCCACCTGACTCCCTGTGTCTGAAAACCGTGAGCAGGCCACATACCGGTGCGAAATGCTCCCCTGCGTGTGACAGAACACGAGGCCATTACTCCACAGCGTGGGGATGAGCACAGGCACATTCACAGGTGGGCTCTGTGGGCTGCTCCCCCGTGCTGTTCTCTGGGGGTCCTTCCCCACTGCCGCTCACGGACCCTCAGGGCACTTGGCGGTCCCTCTGAGTCTGAGGAGCTGTCGCGCCGGGGGCCGGCTATCCATTTGAGCCCCACGTCCACGTGTCTTTGGCACCAAGCTCTAACTCGTGCCGGCACTGACCTCGCAAGATGCAACGCAACAGAAACACGTTCGCAGACACTCGGCAACCTTCGCCTGGCAGCTTTCCGGCCCACATCGCCTCATGTTTTCATCGCTGGCTGTCTTCTGATTAAGGGGCCTCTGATCAGGCCACATCTCCCGTCCCCGGGACCACTGCCTCGCTCTCCTGAGCGGCCTTGCAGCCAGCCTCCCGGAGAAGCAGCGTTTGATGACTGAGTAGAAGCTGGG